TAGCCCCAGTTCCTTCTGCAGATCCAGATCTAGGTACCATAGATACTACAAATGAGAGACATTCAACCATGGAGCCTTCACCTTCATTCAGTGACCTTGATCTCCCCATAGCAGTCCGTAAAGGCAAACGTCGTTGCACCACAACTCACTGCATTTCTCAATTTCTATCCTATGATCATTTGTCTCCCTCCTACAAGTCTTTTCTCGCATCCATTGCTGATATTCCCATTCCTAGAACAATACAGGAATCATTGGAAGTACTAGAATGGAAAGATGCAATGGATGCCCTCATCAGAAACAATACCTGGGAGATAGTTGATTAACCTAAAGGAAAGAAACCGGTTGGATGTAAATGGGTATTCACTGTGAAACATAATGCTGATGGTTCTATTGAAAGATATAAGGCCTGATTAGTTGCAAAATGATTTACTCAGACATATGGTATTGACTACTTAGAAACTTTTGCACCAGTAGCAAAGATGACCTCTATCAGAGTACTATTATCTCTTGTAGCTAGTTACTCTTGGTCGTTGTATCAGATGGATGTTAAAAATGCCTTTCTCAATGAGACTTGCAGGAAGAAGTTTACATGCAGTTGCCTCCAGGATTTTATGGTACGGAGACAGGAAAGGTTTGTCGATTGAACAAAGCTTTATATGGACTAAAACAGTCCCCCAAAGCATGGTTTGATAAATTCAGACGAACCCTCGATAGGTTCGGATATGTGTAGGCTCAGTTAGACCACACCTTGTTTATTAAGAGAGTGGGTTCCTCCGTAACCTTGCTTGCCGTGTATGTGGACGATATTGTAGTAATCGGGAGTGATACTAGTGAAATTGAGTCTCTTAAGCAGCTCCTTCATCAAGAGTTTGAGGTAAAAGATCTAGGGGAACTACGATACTTCTTGGGCATTGAGGTAGCTAAATCCAAGCATGGGATTTTTGTCTCTCAACGAAAGTATGTTCTTGATCTGCTAGAAGAAACAGGAAAGTTGGGAGTTAAGCTTACGGACACACATATTGAACAGAACCACAGGATTAGTGCAGAGGGTGGAGAACCTATTGAAGATAAAGCTATGTTTCAACGGTTAGTTGGAAAGCTTCTCTATCTTTGCCTCACAAGTCTTGACATCAGTTGTGCAGTCAGTGTAGTTAGTCAGTATATGCACTCTCCTAGAACTACTCACCTCCTTGCGGTTGAAAGGATACTAGCATATTTGAAGAGGTCCCCAAGCAGAGGCATTTTGTTCAAGAAAAATGACCACATGAAGATAGAAGTCTACACAGATGCTGATTGGGCTGGTGTGTTGATGACCGAAGATCTACCTCTGGATATTGTGCCTTTGTTGGAGGTAATTCGGTCTCTTGGAAGAATAAGAAACAAAGTGTTGTTTCTCGTTCAAGTGCTGAAGCTGAATATAGGTCCATGGCAAATGGTGTGGCTGAGATTCTATGATTGAGGTCATTACTAGAGGAATTAGGTATTGCTTATGAGAAACCCCTAATGTTGTACTGTGATAATCAGGCTACCATCAATATAGCCCATAATCCAGTACAACACGACAGAACTAAGCATATCGAAGTGGACCAGCATTTTATCAGAGAAAGGGTTACATCTCAAGAAGTATGCCTTCCTTACATCACCTCCGACATGCAGCTTGCAGACCTTCTCACCAAGGCTGTTTCAAGAAAGAAGTTAGAAGAAGATCTATGCAAGTTGGGAATGACAAATATCTACTACCCAACTTGAGATGGAGTGTAGGAAACTATGGACCCCACATTGAGAGTATTCGTGTGACACCCTGAGATGTACTTAGATTTAATTGATTAGGATCAGCTTTCCTAGTAGGATAAGGATAAGTTTTATTCTATCTTATCTAGGATTAGTTATTCTATCTTATCTAGGATTAGTTTTATTTTAATCTTATCTTTTATTGCCATGTAAGCATTAAAGTTCTTTTACAATTAGGAAACCATGTATATAAATTAAGAAGTGGGGCGGCTATTTTAAGCACTCCAACCATTCTCTTCTTTCAAAGCTTCTCCCACGAGTGCTTCTTCTTTATCTCTCTTCTTCTCTTCTCCTTTTCTCCTTCTCTTTTATTTTCTGTTCAAAACCTAAAGAGTCTCTATAGTCTTGTACGACTACTGTATTCTCTAACATTATCTGATCTGAAGACTTTAGTTCTCACTCCAAATTGTGTGAGAACCATCTGGTAGAATTGTCGCACCAAAATGGGTACTTCATCATGTAATCTCATCAAATATATCCAAGAATACTGTGTATGATCATCCACAAATAAAGTAACCACCCATGGAAGAAATGTGGTAAGGACCCCATACATCAGTGTGAACAATATCAAAAGCAAAGGAATTTCTTTTATTACCTGGTTTAAAAGAATGTCTAATGCTTTCCCAACTAACAACTAGAGCATAGTTTGACTCATTGACTATGATCCACTACTACTGCTACTACTAACATGATGGCTTGATGTCTCGGAATCTCATCCAGAAAGTAGACTCCATACACCTCACGAATACTCCCAATCGTCCTCTTTGATTCTAGGTCCTACAAAACACAATTACCAGGAAGAAAGGTCACTAAATAGTTCATATTTTTTATCAGAGAGCTTACTGAAAGAAGATTAGTGTGGAGTTTAGGGACATGTAAGATAGAGGATAATTAGGTAGAGAGCCCCTAAGATTATATCGATATCACACACAAAGGTAACAGATCTTTTTGGAAGAAGAAAACCCTATCCGGAGAGAAAGCTCTCTCCTCTCACTGTCTCCCACCGGAGATAAAAGTGAATTGGCCACTCTAGAAGGCCCAAAAAATTCCAGAAACCTTTCCGCCCCCTATAGAATACCTAGAGAAGTCCAACAATACCTGAGCGCCCAAGATCAGATCAAAATTGAAGAGTCCAACTTGACTAGGACTCTTCCCCGCACTCCAGTTCTTCCTGATTTTGATACCAAAACATAGATCACCCTCCTAATGACTAGATCACACCAAAAAATCCAAGAACTGGGCAATCTGAAGTAGATCAATCACCTCTTTATCTCCTCGTGCAGTCGGCTGATCTAGGACTGGATGGAAAAAACTCCAAGAAACCCTAGCCAAGCTGTAATGCCAAGTAGAAAAGTGCTGAAATAAAAAATCTGTAAAAGAAAAGAGTATTTCTTGGTTGAAATCTTCTCTGAAGAAGAAAGAAGTGCTGAAGATCTGAAGGCCCTGATCCACATAAGGGTTGTACAGTGGTTGAAATCCTTAGAGCTATTTACAGACTATACAGTGGATGGCATGCTGAGGAAGTGGGGTGAGATTGCTAGTTGTACCCAGATTAAAGCAGTTATGAGTGTGTCTTGGACTCCCCCACCTGCGAGGTTCATAAAACTAAACTTTGATGGAAGTAGCAAAGGGAATCCTGCACAATCAGGGATTGGGGGTGTCTTTAGGGATGAGAATGGGGCTGTTTCTGCCATGTTTTTGGGCCCATTGGAGTGGGAGACTCCCTTAGAGCTGAGATCCATTCAGTCTTGGAAGGAGTCCAAAAAGCTAGGGAGATATATCTCAGAAAACTCATAATTGAAGGGGACTCAGAGGTGGTGGTAGGGTGGCTGAAGAAAGACGAGAGTGGTTTATGGAGATATAGCAATATGAGAAGGAAACTCATATGGCTGGTTCGAGAAATGGAAGTTAAAATCAGTTGGGTTAAAAGATCAGCTAATTCTTTTGCTGATGGGTTAGCAAAACAAGGGGTGGACAGGGAGTCAATGTTCTGGGCTCAGTTGTAGTTTAAATTTGAATTCTCCTTTTTTCTCTTTTCCTTTTTTCCTTCTCTCCTCCTTGTAATTCTTGGGGATTAAGCTGAAATTGGAAGATAAGAAAGTCTTGTCTTCCTCCTTGTAATTCTAATTGTTGATAATTAATGAAATGTGTTATTGATCAAAAAAAAAAAAAGAAGAGAAGAAAGGAGAAAGAGAAGAGAAGAGGTTTGAGAGAAAAGAGAGCAATAATGCTGACTGCCCTCTTCACTATTATTTATAGTCTAAAAAATAAAGAGTGCAAAGACCAATATGCCCTTATAGGGCGGCTAACACTTAAAGCAGCATAAAACATTTAAAATAGCTACTCAAAAAGGACCCAACAAGAGTGTTATGGTCCCCACTTCCCATCTAAACAATAAATTATCAAAAGCTGCCACTATAGACTACACAATTTGTCTAAAACCTCAACAAAAACAACTAGACTCAGTTATCTCATGATAACTACTAACATAGCTTGGTTATTTTTTAGTGTTGATTATTTTATGAAATCAATCAATTATTTTAAATAACTTTATAAAGTATTTTATACATAAAGTTATTAATAATTTTTCTTAGTGTACTTTAAAGCTTTTAATACTTCTTAAATTGTTTTCCTATGCCTCTCATATTATAGCTATCCTAATATGACTTCAATGATACATATGGCAATGGTTGTACTTAAAATATTAGTTTTTGAGACTGGAGGAGAATTATGTAGGAAAGCAAAGCAGACGTCATAATCTAGCTAATTGAATTTCAACCTAACCAAAAAATGGAAACAGTCTCTCTGTGTGTGCAGGGGTAAGACTGCGTACACCTATCCCTCCTCAGACCCTGTATAGTAGAGATTCAAGGCAGGAGATACTAGACAATTGTGTCAAAATCTCAATTTTTGTAAGAAATTGAAGATAAAGGGATGCACAAGATCCAGTTTTTATGAGGCACTAGCTTAAATATAAATTTCGTTTTTACTATTCATAGCAAAGTTTATTGTTTTCCATAACTTGAAAAGTTTGGTGAGTTGAAATGGTAAACACCATGGACCATGACACCACAGGTTCCATCCTAACTTATCCACGAAAAATTGGAAAGAAATAAAGTAACAGGCTTTTGGTTATGTTGGACATAGGACTAGATACAAAATGATACTTTTATGCAGTTAAGGTTTCAAAAGTGTGTGTTTCTTTGCAGATGAAGAATCTAACTCCGAGGAATCACTCCAGGAGTGGAAGAATTCTGAAAAGGATCCACAAAGAAAACTCCAAGGTCATCCCCTATTCTTTGGCATCACACTAGGGCTATTGGCTGAGATCATAAACTCTAGGTGAGTTTACTTATTCAACTGTTAAGATTTTATAATTATACATATTGAAATGAGTGTGGTATGAAATTGATATTCACCTTCACATTCCTTCTTCCATATCTGTTGTTCAAGTCACTGATTGTGAAATGGCTTTAAATTATGAGTTGCTTCTCATTTACTGCACCTATTCAATTTGTACTACTTTATGTTAGGTGTAATGCAGTAGTCATATCATTATGCCTTTTTTGACTTCACTTTAGAATGGAATTCTTTGTCTGTGTTTCCTTGGGATGTATTCTTTGTTTTCCAAGTACTAAACTACCAAATCTTTGTTTATTGACATTAGTTGCTACAAGTTGTTAGGATGGAATCTGCATTATGTTGCACTTTAGTTTTTCTATTGAGCTGTGTTTGGTTTGAAGGAAAAAGTAGGGAAAGGAAGGGAAAGTTAATGAAACCTTTACAAACCTTGTATAGGTTTCTCTACCTATCCCTACCTTTTCCTTCAAAACAAACATAGCCTTATTGAATCATGTCCATGTAGGATGGATAATGACCATCCTACAAATTTGTGATGGGTTGAATGGAAAAACAATGAAATTTGTAGATTATAGTGGGATGTAGATGTGAAAAATAGTTGAGAATTGTTTTAGGATGGTTATAATTGTTAGAAGTTGTATTTTCTATTTAATGTTATGGTCGACATATGTTTGTAATCGTTATTTTATTTCTCTTATCATTTAAGTAGGGTTATAAGTGTAATTTTAAACACTAAAGAGGGTGGAAGTTGAGGTCAACACTAAGTTAAATCTCTCTGCTCTTCAACCCTTGTTTTTTTCTCCTATCTCTTCTCTTCTTCATGGAGTTGCAGAGGTTCTGTGGATGAAGAGTCTTCTAGGGGAGCTTGGATTTGTTGTCAACAAACCAATGTCTCTTTATTATGATAATAAAGCTGTTATCAACATTGCTGCAAATCCTCCTAAAATAGCTGTATTTTGTTGGGAAGGGTTTCATGGCAAGATCAATACTGTGGAAAACTTGCAAAAGAAGAAACCTTATTTGTGCTTGTCTCCCAACTGGTACATTTTGTGTAAAGTGAAGAGTGAGGACTGTCACCATTTGCCGATATCTTGCTCTTTTGCTGCCAATATTTGGAACTGGGTTTTATTATTATTTGGGTGCAGGTGAGACTTGCCCTCTAATATAAATCTGCCTTTTTCCTCTGTCCGCCTTTGGGAGATTGATAGAGAGGGAAGCTATTGTGGAAGTGTATCAGAGCAGCCAGCTTGTAGACTTTATGGGATGAGAGGAATGCTAGAATATTTCAAGAAAAGGAAAGAAGCCTAGCTGAAGTAAAGGAGTGTATAATGACAAGGACAACTTCTTGGCTGAAAACTTCAGACTTGTTTGTGAATTATTCTTATGATGATTTAAGGAAAAATTGGGCAGCTATGGCATCCACAGCCTCCACAAAGAACAGACTACAAACAGAATGGAAACCCTCTCTGGAAGGAATGGTAAAACTGAGTTTTGACAGAAGCAGTCAAGGTAATCTAGGGCCCTCGGATATAGGAGGGATTCTGAGAGATAAAGACAGCAACATCCTATCTTTATTCTCAGGGGTGTTGGCGATTCTATAAGGCTGAGATACTAGCAGCGTTACAAGGTATTCAGGTTGCTAGTCAACTTGGAGTGGAAAACTTGATAGCTGAGGGGGACTCCAAGGTAGTAGTGGGTTGGCTGACAAATTCAGAAACAGTCTTTTTGGGTCACAGGGATCTTTGAAGAAAGTTAACTGGCTGACAAGAAATATGGTAGTTAGGTTTCAGTGGGTCAGCAGATCGGCAAATGCCATGGCTGATTCTTTGACTAATATCAAGGAGTGATCTGTTGTGGACTACTCTATAACTGTTTATAGTGTGTGTTTATTTGCTTTTAGTGCTCATCTCCAAGGGGAGGTAACTGAAAGCTGAACCACTGTAGTCGAAGTAGCAGAGAAGAGGAGAAGAAGAAGAGATGCTGAAAATGTCGAACTGTACTAGCCAGTCGACCAGTTCTTTATTTATAGATGAATATAGTACAAGGTACAAGAAATTACTGGGATGCCCCTGATTAGTGATGGGACACCCAGATGACTTAAATCATT